GATAATGTTTGGATGCTGTGTAGGAAACAGTCAGGTGATGTGGAAGATGAGATGGGTGGGCGCACGTTAAGGTTCTTGAGGAGGTCGATCTCAGACTGTGGGAATAAATGAAAGTCAGACAGACGCGTCTACAGCAGCGGAAGCAAACGAGGCCTCCGGGCCACAGATCCTACAGCCCGAATATTTCTGCCATCCAACGCGAATACGGCAGTTGCATGTCCATATGCGCGCACAGGATGACATGCTCCATTCGATGGATCGGACAGTAGCCATAGCAGCCCGATCGGTGCCCATAACGAACACGCACCATGATCTGCCCAATCTCATTCTTCGGAATATTACTGAGTTGAATCTCCTTCACCGCGACGGTCTCACCCGTGGCCCAGTTCAACGCGCCTATGCTTAGCCCGTCAATCCTCCTTCAAGCAGCTCCGAGCCAGACCACGCACGATAAACCTGTCCAAACGCGCCCTTTCCGAGCGAATCGCCGAGTTGCTAACCGTATATTTAGCATCGTAGACTTGATAAAGTAATGGACAATGCGCGACGCACGTAGTCATTGAGTAGCTTTGCGCTACCCGCACTCGTGCCGGTGCCCGAGGAGCCGCCGGAGAGGTGGGACATGATGAAACAGTAGTAGGTAGCGAGCCGCTCGTCTCTTCAGAAAGCAAACACGCGTGAAAGGATCGTAAGAAAGAAGATGACGCTGGTAGTGGTGGTACGAAACCAAGAAGTAGGTCAAGCCCGTGGGCGGCGGAAAGCAAGCGCTGCTCTTGGAGTGAATTGGGGATAATGGAAGTTGAAATGAGCCGCACGCGTCGCGACGCGGGCGCGTGTCGCTCAAAGCGGTTGACTCTTGACCTTCATCATCCTCTCGGAAATACGCTTGCTGGTTTCATTTGCACGGCACAATACGCCAGGATGCGTCATACTACCGGCTGGATCTTCGCTACTGCCTCACTCAGCGGATGTGTGAGCTGCGTGGCTGATGGTACACGAGAGCGGTGCGCCATGAGGTTAGCGGCAACTTCGTTTCGGGCGTTGTGGGATCAGCGACTATGCTGCGCGCATGGTCTTAAGGCTCATACGACTTCCATTGTGTTTCGCGCATTGCCTGAAGTGGGCTGCGATCCCCGAGAGTCTAAGAAGCTATGTAGCGCGTCTGGCGATGCCCGATATGCACAGTGGGGGCGATGGAACGCGTCGGCGAAATACGCAGAGTCAGGATGACAGATGTCGCGAGTCCTGTATGACGGTCCCGGGAAGGCACATTGTACGACGGAAGGGGAGAGCTACCGTTCTTGCTATAGCAGCAGCGCATGTAGCACCTCCACCCCAAGACTTACTTGTTAGGACCTCCATATGGCGGGCCTCCACTATCCCCAATATCACGCATACTTAGGTACGAAATGCCATACCTGAAGTCTCGTAGACACGGGGTCAGCGTGCATGGCACGTCGAGGACAGTAGCCGCTCTTCGAATGATACCACTTTGAGACTTATACACCTCGTCGAGCCAACGGCCGAACGGTTATGAGAGGTTGAGCGGGCCGCCAGCCCGATATGACTTCGCGTTAGCTTCGTACGGTAGACAGAGCAAGAGCTTCAGTTACCAGTAAGGTCAAACAAGTACTCAAATATCCAAAGCAGGAGAGAACGCTCAATGCAGCGATCTAGGCGCGAGCTGGGTGTGGGAGAAGCGACCGGAGCTAGCCCGAGACACCTTGAGTGGCCCGCGCGCCTCTCTCTGCAGCTACGTATGTACCCTCCATTCACGTTGACTGGACCGCAAAGACTTTGACTGGTATACATGAAACTCAAATGGCGACGAGCCACACTACATGATGCATAAAGATACAACAAGAACGTCCAGTGAAGATTCAAGAACCATCCACAGTGTAAGTACCGAGCCCATGATCACGCCGCTTTGAACTCCTCTAGTCCCTGACCCTGCACATCCTTATCCAGCATATCCACCATCTCGATCCTATCCTCGTCCCGATCTTCGCCAAGAATAGTCACGCTCTTCTTTCCACCTTCCGGTCTCCCGGCGGGATGAGAGACGACGGTGAGCATACCACCTGTGTTGGACGATGTGCGCTCGACGTAATGCACGCGACCCCGGGCTAGAGCGATGCGTTGTGGCCGCGTGATGACTCCCCACTCGAGCGGCGGATTCGAGTATCGCGCTTGCTTGTCTGTCTCGTTGAAACCGATGAGGTGGTTCTTCAACGCGAGCGTGATACGGGACATCATGACGGATGTGAGGCACAGTTCGAGTCTACAGAGATGATGTAGTCATGAGTGGGACGCTCGTACAGCAAGGAGCGGGTTGAAAAGGGGACTATACATACTGGGCGCAGATGTTCTTGATCCCGGGATCGGCAAAGGCGATCATAAGCGTAAGGGCGAATGTCACGGCGAAGACGACACTATAGTACACGATGCCTTCCCGGAGCATCTCAGTACCGATTGTAGCAAATGTGACCTTCCGCTTGCTCCGTGGCAGGGTACGCGCAATCACAAGTGCGATGACGGTGGTATCGTAGAGGAGCGGTAACCACGCTGAGGCTGGCGCAATCTTGTCACTGTTGTGCAACGGGTCAGCTCGCTGACAGGTGGTGGCATGATGAAGCGACGTACTACCGCGGGTCGAAGATCATTGTGCATGCTGCGTACTCGGTTCTTCAGCTGACGTTCACACCAGAAGGTTCAGAGCTATACTTACAGACGACATCCTGACCGAGAGGTCGACCGTCATTGATCTCCGCTGTACGAGGATGTTCACTCAACGGGTCATGACAGCAATGCCGCGAGGGACCTACGATACGGATGAAAGAGAAGCCACCAGTTTATGGCCACGAACGCGATAAACTCAGTGAGCAGTATGCCGACAGCGACCCAGTAATATCGTGAACTGCGCCAAAGTGCTTCGACCCTACGATGATTGAGCCTTGTTCTTTCCCAGCGGAGGATCAAGCGGACACTCACCGACCAAGCATCATGAGATCCGCGATCACTATGCCCAGCATAGTCATGACCCCCTCGAACACGACAAACTTATCGCATCTGAGACCCAAGCGTCAGCCGTAGACAGCGTTGGATGGTGTACATTGACAGACGCACGACTGGAGCGAAGCTTGTCAGAAAGGTGAGGAACAGTCTCGAGGATTGGGGCGTACCTCCGTAGTCCAAAAATGCCCAAAATAAGCCACGATGTTAACTAGAAAACTGAGCGGGATGAAGTATCTGTTCTGGAGACCGCGGGGTTATCATCCAGCAGACGACGTGCCATTCAGCACGGTTGACCACGTACGAGAAAGAATAGTGCAGCGACTGGAGGAATGGTCAGACGAGTCTGCACGTAAAGCTGTAAGAGTCAAACGCACATGCGATCTTGCGGTAATCCTTGAGATGAATCCGAGGAAGGTACAGCCAGATCAGATTGACCTGAAACGCCCAATCAGCCTTCATCCACGCATACGAGCCAAACCGCTTACCTCGTCCTCAAAGGTCAACATGTGGTCCCACGCCAGGACAGTAAAGCCAGCGATTCCGACCCTCCTCGTCAACACCCTATTGCACGCATAGCATCAGCCTTGCGCCAGCTGATGATCACACAGGCGAAAGAACGCACGCGAGCCCGAAGTCTGTTACATTCTGCTGTGTGACGCCGGCCAGAGTGTCGAAGGCCTGCGCCGACAGGCTGATGTTCATCCTGACGCAGACTGCGAAAGCACGACCTACCCAACCCGGCCCAACCGCTCATCCGGCCTTATGAAGGCAACTCAAGCTTAAGCTTAAGCCTCATCATGCTCATGCGGGGGCTCGGCCGTACCGGCGGGCGGGACGCTGGTGACTGGTAACCCCGCCCAGTGCGTGCCTCTGGAGGATTGCGGGGTCCGGGGGTGGCAAGGAACAGCGATATGTCGACCTTGTCGATCGGCTTATGCCAGATTGGGACAAACTATGATGTGGTCATGGCTGGTCATGGTCAGAAGATGAGCGGCGGAAGCACTTTTGAACGGAGGCACCAGTTACAGCGGATCCGCCCGCGGCCGGAGAGGTTGGAAGGTCACACGTGATACGTGTTTGGGCGTATGTTGGCTTGTAGACCAGCACACAAATAGTTTGCGAGTAGCGTGCAGGTTGACTGGTGGAAGTGCGATGAGGTAGTGGTGTCGTAGCGCGAGATCCTAGTGGGTGTTGGCTTTGCGTCAGGGTCACAGGTTGAAAGCGCCCATATACGAGGGATTGTTGGCCAAGCACTCCGATCGACTATAACCTGGGATCAAACAAATGTCAACGAAGGTTCTCTGATGTCGAGCCACAGAATAAAGTTGTGTGGCGCAGAGGCCTGGCAACCAATATAGGCGTGCGCCACTGCAGAAAATACCATAACTTCCAACCTGAAGCTTGTCCGTCGCACGTTGGACTCAAGTCCGGATAGGTAGCCGTCGTTCATCTCTGGATGTCAGAGCTGGAAGGTCGACGGCTAGAAGACAGACAGAAGAACGCGCTGCTCAGCCACTCTGCGCTCACGTCCAGCGCTCGAGGTCCCTCTGCGACTCGCAATGTGTACTGTCTGTGCAGAGCTCACTCTGCGCGCGGAACACCGACTACACTGAACATGCGCGTGCTGAGCTTGACAGGAGTACAGTGGCGGCCGGTGCACGGCTAAAGGTTGAGAGCTAGCATGTCCTCGGAGATGTACGGCACATTCCGAAGTATGCGGGATATTGCATAGCAAGGGGGGAGGTCAGGTCGTCGTTGATCGAGCTTCGGATCGCACTGTGCTTTGACTGGTTCCCCCTGGGTTGGATTGCGGCAATTCGCGGCTCGTAGCATTTACAAGGTGTGCATGGTCTAAGGATGGCGCGTTGAAGGCCCGGATGCCGATCCCAACGCCGGGACGGGGGATGGGTGGTGGACGCGAGTTACAAGGTGGCGGAGGGCGTGAGCGGCCGATGATGTCCGTTGCGGGCGGCCGGTATATCGGCCCCGTTACTTACCCGGGGCCGCTTACTTTACGGCTTTGCCTTGAGCGCCCACGATGAACGAATTCCCTACCGTCGAGAAAGAGGTTGAGCGGTATTTTGTAGAAGACTGCCATAGGGAGTGGGTCGAACACGGCGATGGGGATCCTTTCTATCCGTATACCTGGATTTAAATTCGCCCTTTGTTCATAGTCCACGCCGTTGACGTCTTTTCTTCTCTTGCGCCCTTGCTCTCGCAGCGTACAAGCATATTCATCCGTCCGCGTCATGATTACCGTGCGCACATTTTTCTCTCTGAGGAACACCAGCCTCACAGTGAGCTAGCCGTAGTCCCGAAAAAGTCGGAGCTTCGCAACCCGGGATGATAGCGCCGAAGTCGCAGATCGAGTTAAACAATAGCCTGGTTCCATCGGGGCCTCCTTGAGGCCTTTACTGATCACTACTGTAGCGTACGACCCAATTCGCCTATAGCATTGAGCATATACTATACATGCTATAGATACACACTTATGAGACATAACGCCGAAACAACCCGAAGACCTGCTCGACACTCAATTTCATACCGGCAACTCGTTCAGCTCCTCTGGTACGTCCACATCCTTATCAGGGTCACCCATATCCACCATCTCAACGGTATCGACATTCTGCCCACAACCCACAATGGTGACCGTCGCCCTCGCATCAGACTCCTTCCCAGCAACGTGCGAAACGATGGCGAGCGCTCCGGTGTCACACGGAGCACGCTGGACGTAGTGCACTCGTCCACGGCTGAACGCGATGCGCGGCGGTCGCGTTACTGCGCCCCACTCGAGAGGGCTGGCGTGATGGCCGCAACCTTTGACGGAGCCGAGGTCGACGAGATGTCGTTTCAGGGCGAGCGTTATGCGGGACATCATGACGGACGTCAGGCAAAGCTCGAGTCTGTGGGTGCTTGTAAGTGAAGGTCTAGGAGCGTAGAAAGAAAGAGTCACGTACTGTGCGCAGATGTTCTTGATTCCGGGATCCGCGAAGGCGATCATGAGCGTCAAGGTGAAGGTTACAGCGAAGACGACGCTGTAGTAGGCGATGCCTTCACGCAGCATCTCAGTGCCGATCGCCGCGAAGGTAGCCTTTCCCTTGCTTCCTGGTAGCGTGCGTGCGATCACGAATGCGATGACCGTTGTGTCGTAGAGGAGCGGTATCCACGCTGAGGCTGGAGCGAGGCGATCACTGTAGAGCAGTACATCAGAGCCAAAGAGGCAAGGAGACCGCGTAGATGGCGTACTAGCGCGGATTGAAGATCATGGTACACGCTGATGGACATTCTCGTCAGTTGATAGCTGGGTAGAGGTGTTACAGCCCTTACATATGACGTCCTGGCCGAGCGGGCGACCATCGTTGAGCTCAGCTGTAGGGAAAGCTCATGGGTGACGATGCAGATATAGGAACGTTTGAAGGCTTACGATACGCCTGAAAGAGAAGCCACCAGTTGATAGCCACGAACGATACCCATTCAGTGAGCAGTATGCCGACAACGAGCCAGTAGTGTCGAGATCTTCTCCACAGCACTTCAACACTAGTCAACGCTCAGCATCCTCTCCGCACATCAAACGCATATATACGTACCGAGAGAGCATCATCAAGTCTGCGATAACTATGCCCAGCATGGTCATGACGCCCTCGAACACAACGAAGTTGTTGCACCTGCCCGAGATGTCAAGATTGGACGTTGATAGATAGTAGACGAGGATGAGCGCACGTCTGCAGCAAAGGGCGTCAGCCGACACTGCCAAGAATGAAGAGAGTAGGAACGCACTTGTGGGGTCCAGAAGTGGCCGAAGTATGCTACGATGTTCACGAGGAAGCTAAGCGGGATGAAGTATCGGTTCTGACCAGGAGGATCAGCGTGCGGTCGCGCGCGTATAATGTGTCTATACGCACGAGAAAGAAGAGAATGGTGACTATACCAGACATCAGCACTTGTCAACGAGAGGTTAGATCAAATGGAAGGGCGCACATGCTATCTTCCGATAGTCTTTTGGGTCGATCTGCGGGATGCATAGCCATATCAGGGTGACCTAGGAGCACTAGTTAGTATACAATTGAAAGCGCAATCAGACCCGGGCCAGCGGACCTCGTCCTCGAAAGTGAGTATATGGTCCAGCACGAGTACGGAGAAGCCTGCCAGTCCGACTCTCCTAGTCAACACGCTGTCGTGGTTGGGTCAGCAATGCACTCCCTGCACCAGTTGATATGGACGTACGCAAGTCCGAAGTCAGTGATGTTCTGCTTTGTGATGTTCGCCACTACCGGCTGGAGAAGCTGAACCGAGGAGCCGAGGTCCATCCTCGCCTGCAGTCGAGAGTCGAATTCCCGAAGGAAGCCCACGACACCTCTATCTCCGACTACCTCGTTTTATGGTCGCGATGCATCATCATACATCATGGAGCGTTCAAAGCGCCGAGGAACCCGCACGCAGGGCGTAACGCGTTGTGTGTAGAGTGAATGCGGGGAACGGGATGGAGGTCTGTCGATCACTTGAGCTGGACCTGTATGGGCTATGGTCAAAGGCTAGACCCAGATGATAAGAAGCGGGAGAGGCGCCTCAAAGCATCTCGGGTACATGGCAGATCGTCGATGTGTGGGCAGAGAAGTCATGTATGTAGAGGCGTGACCCGCGTATACGTACGCCAGGAAAAGCTTGGTGTACAGATGGACCGACGAAAGTGCTCAGGGAGAAGACTGACGTCTGGCAAGGTTGGCACGTATGGACATTGTAGCACATTCGCTACTTCGCTGGGCCTCCCCCGGGCATCAAGATGCCCTCCTGTGGACAGGCGCAATCATCCGTACGGATCCACAGAGCACTCGGATGTCGCCTGCGTTGCGTTTGCGCCCCATTGAAGAGATCGACCAGTGATATGGTGGCCCATCTCATATCAAGCCACAGACAGATATGCGGATACGTGTAACCCGGGTGACTCCAGGCCTAGGCCCAAAGCGCTACTGCCAGTGAAAGGAATTCATGTAGAAGATGACACTGAGGCTTGAGCAGTTGCAGGAGACCCTCGACGTCGTAGTTGGAGCAGCGGGACGTATCGTGGACAGCGGTGTGAAGACGCAAGACCGCATGGGCCGTTTTCGTGCCAGCGGCTGCCAGCGGGTCACACTTCACGTCGACACTTTGGTTGCCGATGTGCACGGAGAGATGACTGCACAATATTAGACTTCGTGTGGTACGCATGTAGTATTGGTCAACAGGTTCCACAACTGGCCATGGCGAACGTTGAGGGCAAGACGCAAGTTGTCGGAGCTTGCTGGCGATTATCTAGCTCACCTCGGGCCTACGGGCCGACAGGGATGATGGAGAGGCATAAATGATATCAATAACAAACTCAGCGCGCATTATAGGGTGTGATGTGGACGAAACAAGAAAGAGACGAGTAGACTGAGAGTATAGCATGTACAGTACACTATGACATACATCGTACAAACGCACAGCAAGTGACGCAAAAGGAGATCGAGCAACAGCGGCAGAGCAACACAGCGTACAACCCCTCCTCGGACATAGACAAGAATAACAACAACTTCCCCTCAACAGTCGACGCACGAGGGCACGGCGAGGTTATCCGTCTCCTCGTATTCGTGCGGGCGGAGGATCGTGCAGGCCGAATTCGCTGAGCGCTGGATCGTGTAGGCGAGAGGTAGAGTCGAACATGGACGATGCAGGCCCGTCCTCGCTCTCGGGCGTCTTCTCGCCCGCGCCCGAGCGTTCCGCCCACTCGCGCAGCTCAGCCGCCCTGTTCCTCGCGCCGACCGCCTCGGCAACCTCCCGCCTCGCACGAACATGCGCGCCACCACCCATCAACGGCCTCCCCTCGCGCGTCTCCATCATCTCCGCATCCCACCTCTCCCTCTCCCTCTCGTTCCCACTCGGCACAATCTCGCGCTCCTTGCCCTTTCTCGACGGCGATGACACAGGCGACGCAGACGGCGACTCCTTCTCGTCGTACGGATACGGCGAAGACGGGCCCGCCTCCGGATCCTCGTCGCGCGTGACCATCGCAAAGAAGCTCGTATCCTGCCCATGCCCATCATGCTCGCTCTCATGGTCCTGCGTAACCATCGCGAAAAAGCTCGTCTCCTCGCCCACACTGTCCCGCGCAGCCGTATGCGCCCTCTCCGGCCTCTCCACATACTTCCCCTCGCCCCCCTCGCCCTCGAACTCCGTAGGGTTGATAGTCGGCAGCGTATAGCTCTTCTTCAGCGCCGGGTCCTTCTGATACGCCAGTGTCCCGCCGCGCGCGAAGCGCTTCAGATCGAGCGTGATCCGGCTCATCATCGTGGCCGTGAGACACAGCTCGAGCTGCGCGGCGATGTTGCGCACGGACGGGTCGGCGGCGACGATCATTATCGTCAGGGCGAGCGTGACGGAGAATATGATGGAGTAGTAGAGCAGGCCTTCGCGCAGGAGCTCGGAGACGATGTCGGAGTAGCCGCGGTGCCAGGCGTGCGAGACGGTGCGGATGAGCGTGAGGATCACTACGGTCGTGTCGTAGAGCAATGGAAGCCAGGCTGAGGCAGAAGCCGCCCAGCCGACTTCGGTGCCGAAGATCATCGTGCAGGATATGACGTTGGGCGCTTTGAGGTAGACGGCTGACAGCGAAACGTCAGTTGTGTTTGATGGAAGGGAAGGACGGGTGGACGATCGGGGATCGGGTATGAAGGTGACGACACTCACGTGTGGCGCTTGTCAGCAACCAGCTGTTGACGCCGACAAAGACGAGCCAGAGGCAGAAGACGGCGTAGTAGACGAAGCGGTGATTATAGTACAGAGCTTTGACGCTGCATGGGGAGTCAGCATACATGCACGAGTCATAGTGTAGAGAGTACGCACCGCATGAACATCATGAGAGAGGCAATGGATATGCCGATCATAGTTAGGGATCCCTCGTACACGACGAACTGGCTGCAGGTATCGTAATCCCAGACTGCACAGTCCCGTTTAGCGCCGCGGGTAGGTATCGCGTTCCAATGATAAACGCACCATGACTGAAGTAAGCGAAGATGTTGATGATAAATGACAAGGGCACAAGGTAGCGGTTCTGTGCAGGGAGGGTCAGTCTTATGATGTCTTACAGGCAAGACACGATGAACGCACGAGGAAGAACAGCCAGATGACTGCAGCCGGCGGATGTCGTGGTCAGCTCCACAAGTACAGACAGCGAGCAAAGAGGGTTGCACGCACTAGGTCCCTTTCTCCCTTTCCAGATGAATTCGATCTATCAACAGCACTCAGTCAGCCGGGGAGGTTGAGGGAACCATGACGGGCTGACGCACCTCGTCCTCGAGCGTGATGAGGTGGTCGTAGACTAAGATCGTAAAGGCAGCGAGGCCGACGCTCTGCTCAATCGTCAGCGTCCCCTCACATGGTACGGTCAAAGAAGCACGGGCCTACCCTCGTGTACACACGCTGCGAAGGGGAAGAAACAAGACGTCAGCGTCCAGCTTCGCGGGCATCACACCCTTCTTCATATAACAAACGGACTCACGAATTGTCGTATATCTGCGCATGCGTCAGATGTGCGCGCACCGACATCTGCACTGGGCCGATAATATTTGCTATGGCATGAACCAAGCAGAAGCAGCGGCAGCTCGGTGGAAGCTGGGCGGGAAGAAGCGCGGGGGTCGGTCCTTCTCGCGGGCCCGGGGCAAGGACGCAGTTTTATGATAATTTGAGTCGGCGCGGCTGGTCATGCGGCTCTGGACCGGGACTATCCAGCGCCAGGTACGATCCACGAAGCCGATTTCAATTTCATTTGGGACCGCGGACTGGGCGGCAGCGCCTCCCGGCCGCGCGCGGTGGCAACAGCCCTGGCCGTCACCGGATCCCGTCCAGCTGTAGTCGTACTTGGCGCCTAGTACGTTATGCGCCCCATACAGTCAGCCGTATTCGTATTCGTATTTGGGCTGAGCTCTGGATAACTAGCCAGTCCAAGTGTAAAGTGTAAAGGGGGCTAAGCTATAAAGAAAAGACGTGCGATCCATCGATATCCGCATCCGCATTTGCCTCCGCCGCGGCGTGCGGCGTGCTCGGACCTTGCGCCCTGAGCTTCCCCAGCCTCCAACCCCGCAGCACGCACCCTCCCGCGGACCGAAACAAAGCAAAGCCAACTCAGCTCAGTCTACCTTTCTGGTCAGCCTCGCCTCGCGGCGCATCACAAGACGTCTTTCCACGACGACCCAGCGACGCCCGCCTGCGCCCTCTCGTACACCGGCCGCCCGGTCTCGCAACCAGAGCAGGTCATGCGCGCGGTATGCTCTCCGACCCGCAGCTGTGGCGTGAGGTTCTTGATGCGCCACTTTTGGGCTATACCGTCTGGGGAAAGATATGCGTTATACGGTGGGGGTTCGGACATTTGATGATGGGAAAGTATAGAAGAGGAAGATGGGTCCCATAAGCATACACAACGTCAGCTCGGCTTTGGGTCGGTGACAGGAGTTCTGAAGCCGTCATATAAGACATGAGCCCGATACATCTTCCATGATCTGACAGCAATCGTCCTGTCAAATGCGGCACTGACTGTCATGTACGAATATCCGTATCGTCCAAAAGAGTAGAGTAAGGTTACCATATAAAGACATATAGAGGAACTCGAAGACAGGGATGTAGTCTAGGACAAGACCTGCGGAGATAACGGTCAGACTTCGGACTTGGCTTGGAATTCGAGGGGAGAGAGTAAGACATACGGCTAGGAGAACGATGGCGACGACGACCACGAGGATGATCATGAGACATGCGGCGCGGCGCCCAGCTTTGCGCTGGTAGTCGTGTGCGGTGGTCAGCTCGTCTGCCGCGCCGGAGGTGTCGACGGCTATTGAGGAGATGTTCGACTCGATGTTGTCTGTGGAGGTTCAGAAACGGATGTCAAATTCCTCTCTTTGGACCCCGATATGAACCAACTATGACGTACCGATCATTGCGCCTTGTTCGTTTACGAGCGTGCCCAAGTCGCGGAATATTTCGGACAGCTCGTGGATTCCACTCTCGATCTCTCGAATCTCGCCTTCGCGCTCTTGAATCAGTGACTCCTGGTATGCGAGCTCGTGTGGGGAAAGTTGAGATTGTAGTTGTTGAGCTTGTTGCTGTTGTTGCGGTGATGTCGAAGGAGAACCGGCTTGTGCTCTGGATATTCATGTCAGTTATTGTGTACACATGTAGAAATCCGGGATGTTGAATGAGGGATATGCAGGAGCGTGTACGCGCGTATACTAGTGCTGCGCAGTCGAACGAGGCGACTTCAGCCGTTCAACCAGCCCATCCAGCCATAACTCCATCCTCGGAATAGCGCCAACGTCGCGTATTGCACTCGAGTCCCCAAAGATGCGACGATAACGAAGATACGCACTGTGCCTCATCCTCATGTACCGCAAGCTTCACTCCCTCGACCACCGTCCTCTGCTTCTCAGCCGACGCCTGCTGCGCACGCTGGAACGCGACAAACGACATCTGGAAATCATGCGCCGTCTTCGCCATACTTGTCTTCTTCCCCGGCTATAACGACATTCATTGAACCTGATATCCGCGTAAACGGAATAAGCGCGTCGAGGGGGAACGCACCAGTGTCGCCTGCAGCGCCGCCAACTTCTTCAAATCGTCGCTCCCGCGCTTGGTCATCGCGCGCGTCGTCTCCGTCAAATCATGCCTACAACCCACGCCCTCACTTCAACTCCCATTTCCGAGATACACCAAAAGTGAACAATGACGCACAATGATTTGCGCAACGCGGCGCTATCGCGCGGTGTACCGAGTTGGTCGACGAGCTTCAGTATACCCTGCACATTCGCGTTGATCTTGAAGACTTGTAGCGCGAGGCTGCTTTGTAGGCTCGCGAAGGCGCCGTCTTCAGGTGAGGAGGCTGGTTGGGAGCGTGGAGAGCCGTAGCCGGATTCGATATCGTTGAAGCTCATTTCTCCAGTTCAGCGAAGGTCCAATTAAGGTCAGATATCGGTCCAGAAGAGTATGGCCTGAGAGCCGATAGAGTTTGCGGTAGAGTCTAGAGAAGGAAAGAGGTATCCGGGCGAGTATTCGGGTATTGTGATGCAGGTGCGAGGCAAGGTGGTGTTCTGCCGCCGGGTTGCCGCATACGTGAGATTCGCGTGGTCAGCACGCGAGAGCGTGCCTGGCCGCTCTCGGGTCCGAGTAACGAGCTCGACGTGACGAAGTCTCCCTTCAACCACGACGAGCTCTGCGTCCTCGAGTATTTGAGGTCCTTCCAAGAACACTATATCATACCGTTAGCGTTTGCATTTACGTCTGCGTTTGAAGCGCCGTTGCACATGGTGCCCAACGCCCTAATAACGCCCTCAAGAGGTCATCGGACGACATAGACGCCAACATTGAATAGGCATCCTCCAACATCCTGTCAAGTCTCTCGTAAACCGGACCCTCAACTATACGGTCTTCTTCCCTCTATGGATGGTGCAACCGCCGCTACGAATTACCCGCTCGACTGTACGCCGCTCGTCCAACCGCGCCCGTCTAGAAGATCCAACATCAACGTGCATCAACCTCGATAGGATCTCCTGCGAGAATGCCGTACTCTCTCTTGGTCTTCCATGATGAAGATATGGACCTACTGCATTGGCGGATAAAGCGGCACGCGAGGACCATTGCTCATTGGTGCATTCGAGCCGCTTAGGGTGGTGGACAACATCTTTCCTTGCGCCGCGGCTCCTCGACAAACCCGCAACTCAACATCACGACAGTATCCTCAACCTATCACTTCAGCCTGTTTCAGCGACATATTGCTGGGTCTCATGTTGGTCTCGTGCATGTCTTTGAGCGCGGCCGGCGAATAAACTGGTGGACGAAGTCCGTTGTGCGCGCATCTCTGCCGAACCTATCCAGCAGGCTCCAGGCCTACTGATACGCGGAACCCGTCTCTGCCCGTTTAGGATGCGCGCATGCTCGACTCGCCCGCAAGAAGGGCCATTCACGTATCCTGTGCAAGCAAGCAAGCTGTCGTCCATTGCACCCGCACAAAACACTGCCGCTTCAACTGGTAGAACGTGTTTTCTGGTCGACCAACGTCATCGCCACTGCCGCTGTCAAGCAGTACGTTCTCGCGATCTAAACGTCTGTCAAAAGCTAACATCGAAACCGGGCCATCCTGATTATGTTGCTAGACTGGTTCTGTAGGGTTTGATCGTCGCACTGTCGTCCATACCCGTTGACCTCTGAGTGGAGTATACCTTCATCGAGAACAAAGCACTTCCGCCAGCATCGTCGCTTCGCCCGTACTCTACGCCTCTCGTATGGAAATAACGGAAGGGACAAAGCGGCGCAGGGTCCCCTCGGCCATGCCTTGCCCTGTAGACGCCAACCTTACCTTGCACACGAGCAGCGCATTGAACCGGTACCCGTCGACTGGTGGACCGCGAAAGTTCGGCTGTCAAGCGTGAGACCAGTTCGATGGCCTCTTCAATTCGAATGTGCTTGGGGTAGCGAGGCGCAAAAAGGCGCATCTTCAAACGCCGCGCAGTGGTCGGTCGACCTTGCGCCTGTTAGAGTGGAAACTACAACCACAGCATCAAGCCCGATCGGTATGCCGCCGCGGCAAGCAATCGCATGACAACAACTTGATGGTCCACGCTTACCTGCCCTACCCGCCAATCAGTCGCGTGCAGGACCTCCAACTCCAGTTCCACTGCGTTTCCGCCGGCGATACACCATTCCCTGCACCATTTCAAGCAATGAGCCTTCGGTCAAGCTGCTGAATCAGACGCGTCAACAATCCGTACAGATTTCTGTTACGTGCTTTGGTCAGCCCGATGTTCCTTGTACTTTCCAAAGAGGAAAGGGGCAAGCCTGTATCCATGCAGAGACGGTGCCGCGCACAGCCACCCGAATAAGTAGACTGATGATCACCTGTCGTCTTCCCACATCGCGCATCCGGACGCCACTGAGCGCTACGCCCTCTGCGGGGCCCCACAGCGCCTCGAGGGGGGTCATACTCCAATAAAATGAACAGCTAGAGGAGCTGGTGTATTTTGCGCGCTGCTTCTGCTGTCAACTGCTTTGGACACTTGGAACCTGTATGCCACGGCGACGAGCGCAAGTTAGCAATGCTCCCAGGACATATCCCTCTGGACGCCAAGATTAAGGGCCTGTCGAGCGCGTATGTCCATGACGCATGCATCATCGGTTGTAACGCTGACTGGGCTACCGATTGGGCAGAATCTTAACCAGACAGGTCGGATTGGCCGGCTTCTGCGTGCTGATCTGGGACCATGCCATTACCCTTGACGAAGAGGTGCGTTGGACTAGACCCCGATGGCACGCTGGAATGAATGCCTTCCTAGATCTGCCTCATATGGAGGCATATTCCGGACTTGGGCCGGAAGGATTATCGCAGATTGGCATGTGTGTACATACCCTTTGCCATCAACGACAGGCGGACCACTGACTATAGTCACCTCTTTGTAGTTACTATATTGTTCTTACTTGTCAGTAGCCGCCATGCATATCGTGCGCAACGCTCATTCAGCATTTCTCAGAATCGTTACATCGTACCGATCTCGTTCCTAATCAACATCGTGGCATACTTTTCAGCATTCTGGACGACCGAAGTACGTTCCTCCAAGCCTTGCCCTTCACGCTCTCCTAACCTTTGCTCCAGACGTGCGTTCGTTCCTATGTGCGCAGGAGCACGTTCTCATCGCGATGTTGGCTTTAGTTGCAGCAACTTCGTCGTATACGAAGGCATATTGACCATGACGGGTATTGCGATCGCCGATCTCATTATGCTCAGTCGGTACGTCATGAGATTCTTCAAATGCATGCATTGCTTAAGTCTGATGGCACTCATCAGCGTCGAGGCGTTGTGGCGCACCTCAAAGTACTATTGGCATGCTGTGGGCGGCCTATCTGCTCTCTGGACCGTCTTCATCATTTTGAATTCGTGGCTTCTCACCCATACCGGACGTGAGTGCCCTGTACAGCGGCATTCGAACGCGCTGATTGACGTGGTATGCTATCAGCGGTCTACACGCACGTCGATCCCAGCTTCACTTGTACGCACTGACCTCATTTCAACGCTCCCGAGTTATCGATTTGACTTACGCTTCATAGCATGTACAATGGTCTTCGACCCACAGTAGTGCGCTACCAACGTGACTTGACGTCCCTGCCACCATTGACGCCGTCACCTGTAGCGATCACATTGCACCGGCCTCTGCTTGGCTGCCCCTCCTCTACGATACAACCGTCATCGTACTCACCTTGATACGGACATGGCCAATGGCTCGCAACGGTGTCTTGAGCACCAACGCGTATGACATTGGGCGCGAACTGATACGCGAGGGCCTGCTGTACTACGGCATCATCTTCGCCGTGACGTTCTCGCTCACTCTTATGATTGCCTTCGCACCTCCGGGCATCCAGAATATATGCGCGCAGTAAGTTCTCAGACGTCAGACACAGGTATCGTGGAACTCACGGGCATTGCCGTAGACTCGAACTATGCCTTACCGCCGCTATGATGTCCCGCATCACACTCACACTCAAACGACGCTGCGGCGGCCCCGGCGAGCTGCCGTACGAACCCACCCATCCCGAGCCGATTCTCTCGGATTTGCGCGTAATCACCCATCCCCCGCGCGTCGTACAAGGTCGCGGACGTATCCAGTACATCGAACGCGCGCAAACGACCACGAGTATGTTTGCGGTTGTGTCGCATGTTGCTGGCGAGGAGGGCGCAGTTATGTCGGTCTCTCAGGTGGACGTGGATGGGAGGGACTCTGATTCTTCAGATTCGGTTGAAATGGTGGATATGGTAGCGGAGAAAGACGATAACAAGTCGCCTGTTTGAGTACGTGAGATAAAGGCGCGCTTTCGTCCTCCATCACCCCTTCGATTCTGACCTATATATTACGGTCGATTGGCCCCGGCTGCCCCTTGTATCACTGTAGCATATAATTTGTACATCTGCTTTTGTTCTAGTGTAATAGTGTTATCAATGTATACTATCAACGACTTATCCGGAGATTCAACCCCACGTTTCGTCGTGTTTTCCACCCCATTGCCCTCGTGAACGCCCCCAGAACTTTGAGATGATGATGCGGTAGTTCGCTCCACGACGGTTCGACTACTGTATATCAAAGTTTCCACTTGGACGGTGCTAGGTGCCTGCAGGTCAACTGTAGTGGTCAAGGGTCGACAGCCGTAGTGGGCGCAGCAGCAGGGTCGAGGGTGTAAACACGGATCGCAAGGCGAGTTCCGCCGCAAGCTGAACCTACTAACACTGCACATACAAACCCAAGACTCGTAGAGCCAGACAGGTAGCGTATGGCCAGATATCCATGATCAGCGAGACCCCGTCCAGGCTGAGAATTGAGCGTTATGATCGTTGATTGAACCAAGCAAGTATGAAGCGAATAAGATACATGACGTCAAGATGAATCACGGCCATACTCAGTCCATGTCCGTGAATGAAAGCAAGCATTGCTACTGTACAGCGAGTCGAAGCAACAACCCATGAGCAATATATAGTTAATCATCGAAACATCCCCTATACGCCACCCGCAGCATAAGGGTTGTACGGTTGAGGTTGAGGTTGGCCGGGGTTATAGTTGTATGGCTGGTTGCCCTGTCCGGCGCCGGGCGCGGCGTACTCCTTCGGGTAGCCAGTGTAGAGCGGCACCTGCGCCTCGTCCTCCTCGCGCACCGCAAGCGGGCCGTACCCCTTCTGGCCCTTCGGCGCAGCAATCTGGAAACCCTCGCCGTTCTCGGCGTGGATGGTTTGGTGCTGGCGCGACTTGCGGCGAGCGTAGATGAATGCGGGCTTGGCCTGGTCAACTTTGGCGTTGATGTAGCGCATCGCGACAAGTGTGATAAGGATCGTTACGCCGATGACGACGTAGTTGATGATCTTGGTCTTCTTGTCTTCCTGGCCCTCTGGAGCGGAGGACGTGTCAGCGTGAGGAGCAGTGAATGCGGGGTTAGAAGCATACCAGCTGACGCGCGTGCTGCCACACCGATGTATACGCTGGCGAAGACCTTCACGAGAGAGATGATCGCCGCGGCTGTGAAGACGAAGATATTGATACCGCTAAGCGTGAAGAGCACGGTGGTAACTGCATTCCAGGTCAGCATATGCATGCGACGGTCACCGTAGGAATGTTCAAAAACGTACAATGGGCGGGCAAGGCGCTCAGACGACACATGACGACAAAGAAGAAGCCACCCTCGCGAACGACTTGTGCAAGTACGCCGTACTTGACGTTCTTTTGCTCGTACTTCTCCGCACGCGTTTTACAGCACAGACGGAATGTGCTGCAATCAGACGGTCATCAGTAACACGCCCCGGAAATGCAGTAAGTAGGTACGCACTAGAAGTTAGCGATCTCTCCGAGGATGGTGCCCGCAGCCACTATAGCAAATCCGACGCCCAAACCCCAAATTACACCACATAACAAATGGATGATCTCCGCGCCGAATAGGGGCGGGAAGGAAAGGACGATCATGATTGCAATGGGGATCAAGAAACCCGCAGGCAATCTGCGGGGTGAAGGGTGGATCAGCGCGCGTTCCTTGTACATGCCACCGGAACGTACGCTTTGATTTTGTTGCCCGTTGGCTCCAGGGCGTCGATGATCTTGTCGTCGAACACGATGATGAGGATGGTCAATGTGATGACTACGATGGCAATAATCCATCGGACTGCGACGTAGATTAGTACCAATATACGGAGTCGGCGTGGACGTCGGGGTAGCGCACTGATGTATTGTCTCGTAAAGTATTTCTTGAAGTTCTCCCGGTCGAGCCCAAAGCCAGCTCCTTTTCTCCTGATGAGCTCGTTCTCGCTGGGCGTCGGACTAGGCGTGCGTGCGAAGAACCGTTCGGCCTCGTATCCACCCTCACTCGTTGCTGACGGAGTGCGTTCGTGTGAGAGACTGGGCGTGGGCGAGCGTGAGGGGCCCGAGAGGCCAGGCGGGTATAGATGATCGTTATTCATGGCCATAGAGGGTCGTGAAGGGAAGAGATGAAGGGGAGATGGGGGGAATAGCGGACTCAACACGCCGCAGCGGAATCATATAAGTATGTCTCGTTTGAATCGTAGAGCCCGCGCGTCACCACGCACACGCTTTGCGCGCTGCACTGCCCTGCGTGGCGGAAATCCGGGCCGTACAGACGCATCAATTGGGTTGGACTTGCCGACGCTAGATATCAATTCAATTTGGAGACTGGGGCGCGGCTTGCTGCAGGGCGCGCTCCGCTCGTGTTGCGAGGCGTTCGGAGAGGGATCGGGGTTCGGCGGACGTGAGACAGCATTTGACTTGATCGACTATAGCAGTGCCCGTTTTGGCAAGAGTCTGATGCGCGGAAACGCTGAAAGGTTATTGAGATCAATGGCATATCGGTGTCTTTTTATAGCTCCCCTTGCCGCCGGCGTCGACACGTTCGTCGCTTGCTCCGCCAAGACCAGACTCTCAGATGCGGCTTCATGGTGAAGCAGTATCGTGAAAGAGTGCCAGGAGCATCATTGTAGAAGTTGCATGTTGTCGGGACCATGCGGTGAATTGAATGCTTCAATGAAAGGATCGCCAACCTGGCGAAAATGACGGAGTGATTGCTTGAAAGAAGTGCCTTGAGGTTCCGCGCGCGAGGTGCGCGCGAACAGGCGCGAACCTGCAACCCTCGAGGCACCCCGGTCTTAGAGTGATATCGCATAGCGTCCATCGATATCTAAATAATTGCTGGTAGAACCTGAAGGCTTGAGGTCGTACAGCAGGGCGCCATGGCGCGCTCGAGAAGCTTCAACGAGGCGGAAAAGCTTACAGCAGGGCGATGCAGTTGGTTCGGCAACGTGCTGGAGATGAGAGGAACTCCGACTGGTACTAGTCGCAGCGTACCGAGCCACAAGGCTCGCCAAACACAGGTGTACAGGTATGACGAGGCCGCACTACCGATGCTTCTGGTTCGTGGAAAGTGCATCCTGTGCATGGCGCGCGAGCGACTGCGCGACTCACACGCATGCTTGCCAGTGAGACGTTTGAGTGAGGTTGTCTTCCAACGTCCACCGCGCTGGATGATTACGCATCCATGCCTCCCAATACTCATATGGCAGCATGCTGTATCACAGCTGTAACCTCTCGGACATATGACTCCACTGTGGGCTCTATAGCCACCGCTGTCATTTTCCTCCAGAAAACCCTTGGTCACAAGCATGCTCCCGTGTGATCTACGACCTCATTCACCGGCGCGCCCGTTCTTCGACGACGGCCCGCTCGCGGCTCGTCAATGAGCAGACTGCGCGCGCCGTCTACTCATAAGAATGCGATGAGAGACCCCACCTGGTCTGCAGACTTGTCTTGTGTCCAGATGGCTCCCCTCATTCGCCCCCGGATTTGGACGTTCTTGCTCTGCGCGCTTACCTGCCTACCCCTCTCATCTGCTCTGAGCGCGCGATACCTCGCGTGCCAGCTTCAAAAGTCAGACGGCACCAGCGCGTTGACTGGCTGCCCGGACGGTACCCTCTATGTCTCTGCCGCAGACCCGGAAGCCGACTTCACCACCGTTCAAGACGCGGTGCTATCTCTGTTTGTCATGACGTACCTCCATGAGAAGATCATTCTGACTCCTGCGTCAGAGACGAAGATAGTAGCGTTACTATTCTTATCGGCGCTGGAGAGTACCACGAGACTGTCAATGTTACTCGGACCGGGCCTTTGACTCTTCTGGTACGTTTGACAGATACATCTCTAGGCGCGGAAGCTCACGTCGACTGCAGGGCCAGCTGGATCCAAACGCGACCGAGCCGACCTTCAATGCGACGAGCCGAAACCTCGTTCATATCTGGAATGATCTATACGTCCAGACTGGCATGGATGATGCGGACAGCGCGGTCCTGCTTATCGCGCCGTCCTACAACGCTTCTTTAATTGGCGCGGGCACGAATGGGGCCCCTCTGCAATCATTGTTCGGCAACGTCGATTTCAAGGCGTACAATATCGACTTTGAGAACAGAGCGGTGAGTAAAAAGTGTCTTACGTACCCATAGTGGCTCAACTTCTGACAGTACATCTGAAGGCAGATTATGCAATCAGCCAGGCTTTAGTCACAGACATTTCGTATGCCAACGCGTCGTTCTACGGTTGCGCATTTGCAAGCTATCAGGACACTTGGTACACCGGCCGCAACGGCTCGACCTACGTTGTGGACAGCATCATTTATGGCCAAACAGACTGTGCGTTCATCGACTTTTTCCGCCTGTGTCTCCGATGCTCAATCAGATGCAGACTTGTTCGGGTTTGGCACTGCGTGAGCTAGTCGTTTCTCTTCCCAATCCTTCCTACGTGACTGACGGCTCGCGTGTCAGGTGGTTTGAGAACGTGACGCTAGCGAATCGGGCGTGTGGCGGTGGAATTGTAGCATGGAAGGGAAGTGACGACTCGATTGCACCTGGCAATCGCTACGGTGCATACATCTCAAAGTCAGAGATCATTCGTGTACGTGGTCATTGCATGGTATTGGACCGCGCTGATACCCCTTCTCAGTCACCCGATGCGAATGCGACGACCGTCACCGATCACTCATGCTGGCTGGGTCGCCCTTGGAACGATCTCGCCACTACCGTCTACCTGCGCACTTACATGGATGACTCGGTACAGCCTGCTGGATTCGAACCTTGGGGGAGCACTCGGTGAAGCTGCTTCTCAAGATGCAGTGAATAAGACTCTGACAACGCCATAGGCCCGTCATCGCCAACACCACGTTCTATGCCGAGTTCGATTCGACGGGTCCAGGTGCAAACCTCAGCGCGCGTGTTACAGACGAGCACATTCTCGACGACGACGATGCCTCGAACCTCACGATCGCGCACGTCTTCTTCGGCACACCCTCTTGGATTGACTTTGAGTACTCCTCATCTTAATGGTCCCTCGCCAAGAGAGATGTACATGCGGCTTTTCGTGTCTGGCTGAACGACCGGGATAATCCGCGTCATTGTCGGTGGAATGGACTACTTACTTTTTCCTTCGTCAACGGCTTAAACGGATTTACCATCTTATACACCGGATTTATCGTCGCAAGAACTCCGCGCACTTCTATCATGTACGCGCTTCTGTATGACGGTCGGCCTTGTTCATGTGCTTGTCCTTAAGGTTTCGGCCAAGGAACTTTCTCTACCCCGGCCCGCTGCTACTTCCTCTTTCTGTGAAGCTTCCCGTCGGCATGATTGTTTGCCTACCTTTTGGGAGCGGCCTCTTGACTATGATGGGGCGCTTGAAGGGCTTGAAGCGCAGGGGCAGTGCGTCGTGACTGCACCTCGAGACAGAATTCTCCCGCTGTGCCGTGTTTACACCGGACCGCATGGCCTATATAATACTCCACAGGTTGTACTTCAGTTCGTCGAACTCCATCATGGTCTTCAAAGCATCCTTCGCTGTTTTGGCTACCCTGGTCGCTCGCTCAGTCGGCGTTGCTATCTACGGTATGTTCAATTATCAGAGTATTCATACATGCTTTGTTGACTGTCAGCAGGACAATGCGGCGGTATCGGCTTCTCTGGTCACTTGGCGTCTTCATCTGGTCATGGGCATAGCTGAACTTCCCTCGTGCAGGTTCGACAATCTGTGATGCGGGCACTGTTTGGTATGAAGTCTTGCTGAACCTATAGGCCGCCTTACTCACCTTACTCTTCAGTACCGTGCTGAACAGTGAGTGGTGTACATAGGCGTGCAGTTCTGCGATTGAACTGTGCGGCAAGGCTACTACTCTCAATGCCTACCGGGAGCAGCACCGGCTCCCTCTAGCACCGCTGTTCCCCCGGCTACATCAGCAGCACCAACCGGATCTGCACCTGCGTCGACCAGCACACCGGTCGTGGGCAGCTCAAGTGAGTTACGCAGTCATCAGTACGCAAATTATACTCAAAAAGTGAGCTGCCTACAGCATGCTCTACCACACCACGTACCCTGCCTGGTTACAGCAACAGCAAGCTTCCCGACCCGTTCACGTTTGCGAACGGCAGCAAGGTCACCACTGCGGATGAATGGGCGTGCCGCCGTAACGAGATTCTGGCGTTCATTCAGCAATACGAGTCCGGTTTCCTTCCTCCGAAACCACCGCAGGTGTCCGGATCGCTCTCTGGGACCACACTCTCGGTTACAGCAGGCGGCGTCAGTGGTGGGAGCTCAAGCTCGATCACGTGGACTTCGAGCATCAAATTCCCCACCGGCACTGCACCGGCCAATGGTTGGCCCCTCCTCATTGCTTACGATGGTGGAAGCATCCCTGTTCCCAGCGGAGTGCGTGGTGCATAGATCATGAGCCCCGTCAACAGCTGACATCCCGTCAAGATTGCCGTCCTATCATACGACTTGGAGACAATGGCACAACAGGATAGTACGGCTAGCCGCGGTAAAGGGGTGAGTTGGCTAGAACTTCATAGCCGCGACTCGTGCTCAATCGAATGCTTGCACAGCTCTTCTTCAACCTGTACGGTTCCAGCGCGAATGCGTCTGCGATGACCGCATGGGCGTGGGGCGTCTCGCGCATGATCGACGTCCTTGAGACGATTCCGGCATCGACCTCGAAGCTCGACCTCTCTAAGATTGCGGTAACCGGCTGCTCGCGCGATGGCAAAGGCGCGCTTACCGCTGGCACGTTTTCTCCCTCTATCCCGTTTTCTTATACACTTATGCTACAATGTACTGCAGGTGCGCTCGAAGAGCGCATTGCCCTCACAATCGCACAAGAGTCCGGTGAGTCAAAGTCCGGAATATTCGAATTGGGCCCGCGACTGACGTGTTGTAGGGTCTGGTGGTGCCGCATGCTGGAGGCTCTCTCTATACGAGCAGCAACAAGGATCTGCTGTCCAAACGGCAACGGAGATTGTCCAAGAAAACGTTTGGTTCGGGCCCGCCTTCAACAACTACGTCAACCAGCTGAACGTACTGCCATTCGACCATCACCTTCTTGCGGCCCTCATTGCACCGCGCGCTCTCATTGCTTTCGACAACACCGACTATGTCTGGCTCTCGCCGGTCTCCAACTTCGGATGCATGTCCGCAACACGCACTGTCTTCCAAGCTCTCAACGTCGAGGAGAACTTTGGCTTCATCCAAGCTGGTGGACATGCTCATTGCGCGTTCCCGACCTCACAGGTACCCCAACTCGACGCCTTCTTCTCCAAGTTCTTGCAGGGTCAAACTTCCGCCAATACGGACGTATTCACCACCAACAACGTTTGGAACGGCGTAACCTTCACTCCCAGCGACTGGATCACTTGGACCACTCCCACACTTTCCTGAACAACCTCTGATGGATATCGTATATAGCTTTGATGTATTCGAATGGAATTTATAGCACGGACGGTGCCCATATTTTTGATGATGTGTCGCAGAGATGGTCGAGGGTCGTGAAGTCTTCAATTTTTTCCTTAGGAAGGTGTTCATCAGTAGGCAGAGTTTCCTTCTCTACGCGTGCGAGTGCGCAATCAACAGTCGTACTCGAGAACCCCTCCAGCAGCCAGCTTTTGAGTACATCTGGCCCGTGGCTCGCCGACCTCCGTGTGCTGGACAACGGTCGCCGCAAAAGAGGCCAGATAATTGGCCGACCGAACCATGACGCGACCTGTCACATCAGTCACAGCCTCATGGTGTGTAGGACTCGCGGCAAGCGCGCGGCAGATCTCGCTCTGATGTCCTCCACCAGTACCTTGAAAAGATTGCGCGTCCGAGGCAGAGCGAGATGGATACTTATCAGCGAGATGAGCTGTCGGAATACCAGCCCGCAGGCTTCTGGACTGCCGTACCTAAAGGCCTGCGGGGACCAACGCGATAACCATCGGAATCGACGGCGACGTGTCATGGGGTGCGCTTCGCGAGCCTCGCGGCGTCGGCGAAGATCACAACCGTCTGTAGAGTTGATGCGCCCTCCTCGAACCCTCTGAGATAGGCTTCGGGCAAAGTGAGGTGCAGACGACGCAGGAGTGTCGTGGGCGGCCAAAAGTTTACTGCCGCCGAACGGTTACTGCCGCCCACTCCCTTCCTTTGTTCCTTCATTAGGTCCTTGTGACTCTATTGGGTTTCTGGCGTACGTGGGCTATAGATTTCCTTCATAGCTTTTGCACAGCACTAACGCTGGTACTGTAGGCCTTCCACCGCGCACTATCACATTGACCAACGTAGGCCGAGAGGGAGACAGCCATGCCCCAGTAGCTATAGGTCTGGCAGACTTAACCGCGGTTTTCTCAAAAGCGAGGCGGCAGAGTCCTCGCCACGCATCGATGTCCCGTTCAGGCAACGGCTAGTCTGCGAGAGCATTCCCACCACACGGCCATCTCGCCATCGCCTCTTGAAGGCGTGTCTTCTCAGTTCTTTCCTGGAAAGTGCGAAGGAGCCCAGATCACTCGTGTTAGGTCCGACCATACCGGCCATGAGCCCACTGCGTGTAAATGAAAGAGCGTGTCCGCTCAGCCCCCTAAGTATATAGCACAGCTCGCTGTTGACGATCCCGCCTCGAGCTTCTCGCTCTTTCTCTCTCCATCCCATCTATCTGATCACCTTGCGCTCGCGTCGGCAATGGAGTACAACCCATCTTCCTCGCACCAGGTAGTCAAGTCCGTGGCCATTGACTTCGCGCATCAATTTCCCCATCTGGCTGCGAGCGCCCACGTTCTCTATTTGAGCTCTTCCCACGAGCTTGTGGGTTGCAGCCCATCGGATGAGCCACTGCCGGGACCCGTCTCTCAGCAAGCGATACCTCCTGCATTCTTCGCGAGAGGAGAACCGCTGCATCTCGTGAAGTTGTTTGCGCGATCCATCTGGCCACCGTCGTCGTGCGTTTTACGTGTAGTTATATGACACAGCCACTCATCGGCACCGATACAGGCTCGGGCTTGCCCATCTTTCTAGCCCACAGACTCCGTGGGTGGAGACTCTCACGCACCTTTCGCGCTTTGACGCGAGTCAGGATGACGGTGCCGTCTTCGTTGTGCGTATATCACGCCGAGTGATATCGAGTTGGCTGCTAATATCGCGATCTCCTAGATGGAGGAGAACTGCCTCCTGGTGTGGTGCACAGCCCAAGGATCCAGCGGCCGTCTTCGCGATACCGTTCAATGGGGCCTGAATCGGATGCAGGACGATCTGTCTGGGTCTAGGATGTCCAACACCGGGATCGCTCCCTCCGAGGCTTTGGGTCCAATCACACTGGACTTCAACAACGGTCCCTCGAATGCCCTAGACATGAGTGATCTCCTCGTAGCCGATGGACTATTTAGGATAGACGCGGTGAGCTTGATCAGTATTCATTATTTGCTCGCAGAATGCTCAAACGCATTAGATGGACGCTTCCTCCGTCTACGGCTCCCCTTCTAGCGACTTCTCTCCCGTCATTCACGTGAGTGAATTCGTACCTTCCTTCCAGTTTGCCTCGGTCTTGACGCCTGTTGAACCAGATCACCTCCCCATTGATGCCAGGATGCCACGACTTCCTCCTGTCGTCTCCTCCGGACTCCTTCCAGTACTGGCGTTCTCCCCAGGGCCTGACATCCACTTTCCCGTCGCCTTGCGTCGACCCGAGACTTATCTCCCCGTCCTCGATCACTCTTGAGGACGTCGCCGAAGATTCGTCCACTTTCTCAACTTCGCCTTTCTCATCGGGTAGTTCTGCTGGCGGTGATGAGCTCAGCGACGTGGGCACCCCGTTCTCCCCTATGCCTCCCCTCCCATCTCCAGAACAGGACCGCTTGACAGCGCAAGATGAAGCCGCGTCGAAGACAACATTCACTCCTCGCTTCCTTTCACCATCGCCAGCAAAATCTCCGCGAACGCGGGAAACGCGTGTCTCCCCGCCCTATCGCAAACCGTCCGCTTCCCACAAATCATCCAAAAAACAGCGCTTCATCTGCGAATGTGGCAAGAGCTATTCGCGCGACAAGGATCGGGAGCGCCACCAGGAGACGAGCTGCGCCCTCATCAAGGTGAAGCCTACCGTCGTATGCGACGTATGTCACGACGTGCTCGGCGCTCGCCCGGATGCCTTACTTCGGCACCAGTCCAGCGCTAGGTGCAATCCTAAGAAGCGCGCTAGGGCCGTTGCCTAACGCTCTCTTCTACCACCCTATCTTCCTTGAATCGAGTTCTATGCACACCTGTCTCTATACCACACATCCTTCCAAGCTTTCTACCAATACATAGCTTTCGTTCGCTTTCGTGAGACCATAGGCTGGCCTGTATCCATTTTGCTATCGATTATCAACAATCATCCTGTATTTTTACTCTACCTGCCAACTCTATTTATGCATGTCTCCGTAGAGGCTCGCCACTCTCTGCCTGTACAGGCTTCTAACGAACGAGGACGGGCCACAATCCCGCTTCAACCAAGTCACACCGTTGGTCCACGTATCTGGCTAGCGCATTATACCAGACCATTTTGCCGTATCAAGTCGCACTACTCACCGGCCGCCAATCTTTCATCGTTGTCCATCGATCGGGTCCAAGGTCTGCACGCCCGCCAGGTCCAGGAGAATATCCACCGAATGACTTCCTCGCCCGGGCGTACAGCTCGCGCCACTCATCTCATCTCGAGGCGATGCCACACCAGGGCACCAGGGAAGAGAACTCCAGCGCCTCGGGCTTCAAGGTCGAGGTCGGAGCGCATGCACTCGCCTCAATCAGATCCCCTGTCGATTGGCTGCGCGAAAGAGAAGGGCTTTAGGCTTCTGTGCGAGCTCGAAGCATACTTCGGAATCTGGCTCCCGTCGTAGGACGCCGCAGTGCCCTCCGAGTCGGCATGGATAGACATGTGAGAATTCAATGTGCACAGCCATTCAGATCGCTCATGACAGTGTCCACGAACAAGCGTTCGACGTACAGTCGTAAATATGAGCTCATTCCGAAGGCCAGCTGGCTCGCTAACCTGGTTCATATCCTGACTTTCCTCTGTGAGGGAAGCATGGTCTCTTCAACTTATGTAGGCAGCAAAGCCATTTCAATGAGCAACGTGTGGGGGTTTCAGCGTTCCCGACGGGCGGGGGAGTGCTGTACGGTACAGCTAGCATAGTAGGAATGTCCAACGACAAGTCGCCTTCGAAACCATTGCATCCAAAACCCCGTAGATGCGATCAGGTACAGCTTATAGAGTGGGATAAACGACACTCTGTCTAGAGCTCTGCCTGCGCTTCGAGCCCCAAAGGGTATGTATGATAGTGGTTGGAAGCTGAGAGAGGAATCAGGGCCCAAGGCTTCGGCTTCCGGTCCAAAAGCACGTGGTTCGCATGTTGGACTTTGGTGTCATCGACGCACTGCAGCCGACCACCACCTCCTGCCAGAAGTCCCCTTCCCTTTCTCGTGGCGACCTACACTCAGGCATGGCTTCAATTGGCGCAGTTACTAGGCAGATTGCTGCTCTGGAGATATCCAACAAGCAAAATACTGGGCCCGCCGTGGCAGCTCCAACGACGAAGCCAGCGCGACCAGGACACCAAAAGACGATGAGCCAAACGAAGGTCTCGACACTACTGACGAAATTCGCGCCACCTCCACCATTTCCCGAGTCAAAGTCTACCAACTCGCTCAAACCTCCACCACCAAGTCAATTGAAGACAGCTGCCTCTACATCTGCGCTCGCGTCTACCTCGAAGGCGGCCACGAGATCCGCTCCCAAAGTCCCTGCGGCGAAAGACATTGACATCGGTCAATATGACGATGGCTTTGAGCGTGATAACCTGAAGCGAGGGTCGATTGTGTCCGGAGAGGCTGCGAAGATACTTGCATTGGATTCGAGCGTTCATGGGTGCGTGATCCGGTGTCAATCATCCTTTCCGAAGCTTACCCGTTCATAGTACACGACCCACGCGTGAATGGCGCTTGAAGGATCTCGATATTGGGAGGCCACTCGGAAAGGGCAAGTTCGGGCGTGTATACATGGTCAGGACGAAGATCGAACCACATTTCATCCTCGCGCTCAAGTGCCAGTACAAGTCGGAGATCGTTGAGAACAAGGTCGAGAAGTACGTTCCTTTTGCTCCTCAGCATTCGCACGATACTCAAGGAGCTACAGACAGATACGACGTGAGATTGAGATCCAACAAAACCTGCGCCACCCGAATGTACTCCGGCTGTACGGTTACTTCCATGACGAGAAGCGGATCTTCCTTATGCTGGAGTTTGCTGCACAAGGAGAGCTATATAAACAGCTTACCAAGGCGCCATATCACTTCTCTGAGAGCCGCTCAAGTCGCTACATTGATCAAATGGCCGATGCGCTGAGTTACCTGCACGCCAAGCACGTCATCCATCGGTGAGTATATCATTGCGCACGGCGCACTTAGAACTAACGCTTATACTTCTTGTTGAAAGTGACATCAAACCGGAGAACATCCTCTTGGGGATGAATGGCGAATTGAAGATTGGCGACTTTGGATGGTCCGTGCATGCGCCAGGACTTCGCCGCAAGACATTGTGCGGAACTCTGGACTATCTCCCGCCGGAGATGGTAGAACATAAAGACCACAATGAGAAAGTCGACCACTGGGCACTTGGTGTCCTTACGTACGAGTTCCTGGTAGGCAAGCCGCCGTTTGAGGATCTCGAGGGCGGACAATGGGGTGCGAGCAATTATCATGTGTTGCTCGATGCGTGACTCACATTGTTGCAGGAACCTACAAGAAGATTTCCCGAGTGAACTTCAACTTCCCTCGCGATCGCGTCACCCCTGAGGCTAGGGATCTGATCACTAAGGTTAGTAGCATCATAATCTACGCTCTGTACACGACTGAGTTCCGTATTCAGCTTCTGCGTTACGATCCGGATGAGCGACTACCTCTCGCAGATGTACTCACACATCCGTGGATTCTCAAACACCGAAAGCCTCGGGCATCTCGCCCCACTGCTGAGAAGTCCGCCACTACCGCGTGATTGTCTTGTGTACTTCGTCCATAGTCCAGCCATCATTGCTCATCCGCCCCAGCTCTTGTACCATATACCCTCGCACGGACACGCTTTTTTCGCATTTTTGGATACAGACACTGCTGCAATCTCCCCCTCTTCTCCCCTGTATCTGACTCAACGTGGTCATGCAGGAACATTGACGACGACGGCCCGCGATCGTACGCTGAACGATGCGTATTTGCCTTCTAAACTCACATGTGCCTCCATCGAGCCGTATTTCGAGTGCATTGCGCTATACTTTCATCATCACCGCATCAGTCAGCGCTCATTCAGTCAGCCCCATCTCTTGGAGGGATGCTCATACCAAGTAGAGCAACACTGCATAGGCCAATGTGGTCACGGAACCTCGCCGGAAGGGCCTGTAACTCGAGCGACACCAGGAGAGCATCGAGCATCCGAAGAAGCGTTCCGCAGCAAACACCTGGGAATTTAAACGTAGTTGAGTAGTACCTGAGAGGTTGCACGCACCGATCAAGCTAGTAGCGTATGACAATGCCAGCTGCCCAGCACCCTCTCGCGTTGAGCGCGAGCCGTCAAAATCCCGACGCGAAAGCCTGCGCATGCGATGCCACACCAATCCACCGAAGTTTTCCCGCTGCCTCTGACTCGCGACACGGGCGCAAACTATCCGTGAGGAGCGCAGATCAAGCGAACACGTCAGCGGACGCTCTAGAACAACGTGTGAACGCGGCCATGGCCTACTTTCCGCCGCGAAGCCAAGACTGGACGCCGGATATATAACCCAACAAGGCGGTTGAACCTGGTGAGAGCTCCCTCCACCTCCTTCTGACTGCCGTGACTGCCTCTGATTCTTTCGTCACAATGGCTACAGCTGTTGGCGAGTCTATCGCCCTCACACCTCTTGAGGACGCAAAACTTCGCCCTGAGAAGGCTGATTCCACTGCTGTTCCTGATGAACTGCAGACACAGCGTATCCGCTCACGCGCTTCCGCATCAGGCTCAGAGAACGTTGCGGAGGATGCTGCGCATGAGCCAACCAAGGCTGAGAAGAGAGCCAAACTTCTCTATACGCTTGCAGTGTGCTGGATGATGATTCTCATTGGCTGGAATGATGGCACCGCTGGACCTTTGCTGCCGCGCATCCAGAGTGTCTACAATGTGACAAAGTCTCACTTTTCATCAGCTCAGTGCCACTAAAAGCGCGCACCTGTAGATCGGGTATCTCGAAGCTTCATTGATATTCGTTTCCAACTGTGTGGTCAGCATGAGTGTCTCCCAGCTCTGGCCATACTGTTACTGAAATTCGCCTTATACTAGGGAATCGTCTGCGGGGGAATGGCAAACATCTGGCTTGCTCGTAAACTCGCGCTCGGTAAAGTGAGCACGGCACAGTCGTTATGCGTATTGAACTCTGATTGAGTGACCGCGAATCATCTGATTAGATCGTCGCAATCGGTACGGACTGGGCCTTACATCCGCATGCTTTGAGCAACGACTGAAGCACAATGGTCGTTAGCGGCTTCCTTTTCCATCATTGGCTTCTCCATACAGGCGCCAGCTCCGCCATTCCCGGTCTTCGCCATTAGCGCAGGCATCACAGGGTTCTCTATGACCATCCAGGACATACACGCAAACAACTTCATTGCAAGTATGAAAGACTCAGGTGCACGACTTGGAGTTCTCCACTGTCTCTACGGTACGTCGGCGTTCCCTCTCTCGAAGAATGAGCAGCTGATCGTCTCTACAGGCATAGGAGCTTTCGCAGCACCACTTGCTTCGACGCATTTCGCGGATGCTCCTCACTGGTCTTTCATGTACCTTTGCTCCCTCGGTATAGCGGCCAGTAATGTCGTTTCGATCCTAGTGATTTTCCGCTTGCGAACGCAGGATGGTGAGCCGAATCGTCATCCTTTCGCGTTCTGCGACTAACAATGCCGCAGAGCTGCTCCACGATATGGGCGAGAGGCCAGAGCCCGAGGAGGAGACCGCAGCGGGAGGAAACGTCTACAAGCAGGTGCTGGGGCTACGCGTCGTTCAGTTGCTCGCTCTCTTCATTGCTGCATATGTCGGAGTGGAGACCACTATTGGAGGTATGCATGTCTCTCGAACGCTGTTGGACGAAGAGCTTACGACAGTCTACAACTCATAAGGTTGGATTGTCAGCTATACCATTGACGTCCGTGGTGGTGGTCCGAGCGCGGGCTACATCTCTTCTGGGTTCTTCGGAGGTCTCGCACTCGGTCGCGTCGCTCTCCTCTGGATCACGAAGGTGCTCGGCAATCGCACCGCCATCTTCCTGTACATGATCCTTGCCCTCGGCTTGGAATTCATCGTCTGGTTCGTACCGTCGATCGTCTCAGGTGGTGTGGCCATCTCTCTCGCTGGTCTGGGTACGATATTGTCCTGCCTCGGCGCCTCTTCTATCCTGACGTTTCCCCGTGCAGTCCTTGGACCCGTCTTCCCCATTGTCGTGCATCAGGCTAGCCACCTCTTACCCCGCTCCAAGCTCAACGGCGCCATCAGCGCCATCGCCACGGGAGGTACGATCGGTTCCGCGGCCATTCCCTTCGTCGCAGGCGCTCTGGCTCAAGGCCATGGCATTTGGAGCTTGCAACCTCTGTGAGTGGCGTTCGACGAAGTACAACACTCATGCTCACCTGGCGAATACAGTTTGGTGTCTCTGATGGCCGTGATGATCAGCATCTGGGTCTTCGTGCCCAAGCCGCACGCGCGCACGGACTAAGGATGCCGCAGCTCCTCCACCATCGACCACCGCCCAGCCTCGCTAAGAAAAGGGCGGTTGCTCGTACATGATCTAGATTTTACGACATATTCCTAGGGTTGGGCTCGGGATGCTTCACGTGGTTGTGGACTGTTCCACCATGAAATAGGGTACTTCTACCCGTATGGACAGAAGACTTGGTCGCGTACACAATGAAAACATGATCTGGCAGTCGTCGTGATGGTAGTGAGAGGTGGGAATGCTCGCGTGCGCGAACTTCGGCGCGAGGGCGCGCCACCTCCGCGCTTGACTTAGACCACCATCTGCCAATAGCTAGTCACGCTTAAAACACCTGCCGAAGAGATTATCTGTCGCTGGCTTAATGGCCTTAGTACATTCTCGTACGCTTATCGCACCGACCGCGTCTGCATTGATTCAGGCGCTGACGCGTCAACCGAAGCATGCATACCCGCTTTTCTACGCCCTCTCGTCGACTCTACCTACTGAATTACTACCAACTGCTATCGAACGACTGCGCGGACTTTCATATGCGACATCTATGGGATGTCTTTCTGCACCGCTGAGATGGAAGGGCGAAGAACAGTTCACAGCCTCAATGGCATGGTTCGACAGTTCACGCTGCGTACCCTTCAGGAGTACGATACCGGGGCGCGAACGAGCACAAGTGGGAAGGAGGGTGGACGCGCGTCTTCCCGAAGACGCTACTGCGTTTGACACAGATGCCGGGCTGGGACGGGTCGCGCAAGGGGATAGTAGCGCCTGGGCGGATGTATGGGCGGGCGCTCCTGCTGAACTTCCGAAAGAACTCGAACATGTACCGTGAGCATTCACTTCTTTTGCGAGAACTTGCGCGCAATTGATTATTTACGAGACCGACAGACGTATCTGCCTTGCTTATACTATCCGATGACGCACCACAAGGTTTACTCAGCTCTCTACAAACTGCGTATCCCGGTGCTTGCAAGGTACGATTGACCTGTGCTTGCTGTCCACAGATGCTGATATGGTGAGTAGATGGCTTTGCGCGTTTCGTCGACACCGTTCGTCACGGGCCGACCATTCACGCTTCTACGGGATGGCAATGTCCATTCTTCAGGCGCTGTGGGCTTAGCCATACTGAAAGCTACACCGAGCCTGAGGACGACATTCGATGGACTCCATCCATTATCTCCCGTGATGAAGGTTACAGCGTATGTGTGACGTTATACCCTACAAACATCCTCCGTACTGAGCTTCCTGTAGAGCCGAAGGCAACCTAATCCACACTTTGAACGACGGCAATCCCTCCCAGCTACTACTAGATGCTATTCGATCGACTGGCTTGTACGGAGAAAACGCAAAGGAGGACAACTTCGTTCTGGGCGTGTCCACTTCTCCCGAGGTCCTCCATCAACGCGCTTTCCGGATAACGTCTGGTGATCCGAAGCGTGGCACATTGGCGCTGGAAACCGACGCCACAATCACGGAAGGTTTATTCGTGCAGGTGAGCATCGTGTTGAGATACGTGTCCCCGTGTCATACTGATTGACCACCCAGTTCTTCAAATCATCAACACCCTCAGATGTCGCGCAGCCTGACCGCACGCCTTCGATCTCATTCATGACGACCTCTGACGCAGCTGGGACACGAGCACAGGACGGTCATGCGGGCAGCGTGGACGTGGAGTCCGTGCGCATCATCGAAGGTGCATTCGTGGCAGGGAGTGAAAATGGGTGGACTGTTGCGCAGGCAGACGAAGAGGCTTGGGCCTGCAGCGTGCCGGGAGCGTCAACTTCCGTGGCCTGGTGATACGTTGTATTCTATCCTCCAGGCTTCGAGCAGTCAGGATGTCCCTCGCGATTCCTTCTACCATTGACTTTGAGAAACGAGCCTCACTTTGGCTCGCACACCCTCACATTCGCACGCTCCACCGTGGCTTCTGGGCAATATGGTTCGAGCACTGAAGTACTGAATGTTCAACATTCAGGCCTCCCATCCACCCATCTTGCCTCGGTCTGTAATGCGATGCATGCGCGCCCAATACTCACAGCAGACCCTAACGCAGAATCTCAGCCGGGGTGCCCGTCACCAAATCAGTGTGAATAAGGCTCGTGTATCCGAAGGGTATACGTTCCGGAACCTGTTCCCATCCTGGTGGAAGAGGTGGAAGCCACCTACAAGGCGTTGCCAATGACGATGCTGCGCCCGGGGGAACGCTTGCGTAACGCGTGGTTCTTCTTCACAGTCGCGAGCATATATACAGCGCTGTCATCTGTCGACTTTCCTTGTCATCGCCAATCATGTTCAAGTTCCCTTGCCTTCTCGCTCTGGCCGCCGCTGGATTCGCCCGCGCAGACGATACCAGTCTCGCTACAGTAGTCGCTGCATTCAACGACGCGAATGTACGTGGACCCTCTTTCTCTCGTATACTCTACTGAACAAGCACGCAGATCCCGGCGGATGCGTTCATCACCTTTGATCCCAGTCTCCTCCTGCAAGTTCAATTCCCGCAGGCGAATGGCACGCTCGTAGACGTTACCGCCGGCGTGCAGCTCCCTCGCAACGCGACTGTCGGCCCGCCATTGTTCAACGTGGTCGAAGCCAACGAGACGATCACCAACTCGGCGTCCAAGGGCAGACTGCCGCCGATCAAAGGCGGCCCGCTCGACTCGACGGACTTCGTCGTCGCAATGGTTGATCTCGACGCGCCCACCCCGCAAGACCCTACCTCGGCACAGATTAGGCACTTCTTGGGCAGCAACTTCACTCTTGCCTCGCCTTCAGCTGGTAGCGATCTTGCGCCGCTGGTGAACAACACACCTGCGATCTCGAACTTCCTGCAGCCGACGCCACCGGCGGGCTCTGATGCTCACCGGTACGGACTTCTGTCCGATCAGCAGCTGATCCTTGACTGACCTTGTGTAGATACGTCTTCCTGCTGTTCACACAGTCGCCGGACTTCGACGAACAGACTCTCGTGAACGCTTCGACGTCCATCGCGAACTTCAACATTAGCAGCTTTGCCGCAGCAACGGGTCTCGGCGATCCGTTGGCCGGCTCGTTCATGTTGGTAGCACCGGACCCGACGGCATGAGTGCAGCCGGGGTGAAGCTTAGTGTGTCGATTGAACAGTATATCGTAGCGCAGGAAAGGATGTCCTGTCAGAAATAAGATGATACACCAAGTGCAGACGAGCTATTGATACAAGCGTGATGACAAAGGGGCAAGAGGTGTGCCTGTATCCTACATAAGAATGGCAATCAAGGGCCAGGCGCAGCAAGTAAGGTTGACAATGGCGTCTCGTATGTCGTGTGATCAATCGTCCTGCAAAGTGCCTCAAATAGCTTGCGCGCATCATCCGCACCGTACTCCCCAGAGTCCATAGCATTTATCAATGTCTGTAGTTTGCGCCCAATGGGAGGCACCTCATCCACCAGCGCAGTGAACATCCTCCCACAATCGCGAACGTCCTGAATGAGAGCCGCGCAGTGAAGCGAAGCATCTGGTTTCAATTGCTCCGCGTGCGAAAAGTCGACGCGGTAGTATTGAACTGGCAAGGTTGCGCGATCGAACTTGTTGGGGTCGCTCATCCCGATATCAACCATGACGGCGCCAGCGTCTCCATATGCCCGGTGTGCGATGCGGTTCTCGTGTAGGAAGGTCAAGCCTTCGAGTGCTTGGCGTACGAAGTCGACGACATTCGCGACGGTGACCATTGGCGGCTGGTCGTACTCGAATAGCCGTTCAAAGCAGACGACGGTGATTGTGCCCCGCGTCGTGTGATGCAGAATGCGAGGAGCGGGGTTCCAAGGGTCGTCACGCAGCGGATCGCGGTCCAGGGTCTGAAGTAGGTGCAGCTCGATGCTGTCGGAAGGGGCATGCATGATGAGCATCGATGATGACGGGGAGTACGGCTCGTCTAGTAGGTTCTCCACAAAGATCTAGAAGATGTATGTCAGAACATGTCTTCAAAAGCCTGACAGAGGGACGCACCATGTTATACGGCGCACTACTCGCATGATGCTCCATATATTCGTCTACTACCTTCTCAAAGTTCGCCCTTTGTGATACCAGAGACGAGGATGACGGCATAGAGAGCGGCCAAGGTAAGCGATCTTCCTCCTGTTCATCCGAATCATCCGGAGACTCCGAACTTGAGCTTTGATGGCGACGTATACGCTCGAGGGGGACCATCCTCTCCAAAGGGAATCCGAAGCTATTGTCGCCAGTATCGTTCTCGCCATGTTTCACGAGAGACTCAAGGCTCTCTTTCGGTGAAGGCTCCAGAGACGGCGTATTATTCGGACTGGGCGAGGAGAAGGCAGAGCGATAGTTCAGCATAATGCAAGGTCACGGGCGGTCGATCATGCGGTGAAGCGACGGGTATCGAGACCTCAAGAGGGTTTGCAAAGAACGCGAGACGAAAGGTGGGGGTGAGAGGTAAAGGTGACCCTAATTGGCGAGGAGGACTTGTGCGGTGTTATGAGAGCTCGAACGGAAGCATTTCGAGGGTGTTCCTCCGCGTAATCTGCTAGGTATAAGACACGTCTCTAAGATCCGTGCATTGTTCTGTACGTCGACCCTACCAGAGGACCGTATAATATAGAGGTTGAGTCTGGGGTATAGAGCAAAAGGTAAACATCATGGTCGGAGGCAGCAAGCATACTGCGCGAAACCCGCGGTTGGCTCGGAGACTCTCGGCTTCTCCCACAATCCAATAAAGGAGCATCTCTGCTTTCCTTTGCGATCATGCGATTCATGTATATGGAACGATGTGTAATGAAGAAGTGCGTTACATGTCTACAGAAATGAATCAGAGCAGTACAAAACAGTGTAACGCCTGATGGGCATAGAACCAAGCAGGCGCGGCGTTGGGTATATGTACAGGTCCGCGAGCGCGCAAGACGTACAATGCGGGGTTAACAGCATTTATGATACATACAACAGACACGATGGCACCCAGAGTCCCTGAATAGATGTGGGAAATAGTCGGCATAAAGTTGAGGATGATCACTATGCGGCCGGGCGAGGTAACCATTCCGGCTTGTGGGCGTTCAAGCGCATAGGTGCCTTTCCCTCCTTGATCCTCGTCGCTTCCATCTCAGCAGCGTGCCGTATGACCGTCATTGTAGAGCCAGTCGGTTGCTCGGTGTCGGGTGAGTCCACGTCGCCGTCGTCGCGCTCAACAGTAATGCTGTAGCCGGCAACCTCCTCCGCAAGGGGGAAGGTACGTTCAGGAAGTGGTTCACCCTCGTCATACGCCTCCTCTGGAGTGAGCGAGCCCATAGCTCTTAACCAGAGAGCAACAGACTCCAAAGAGACGTGAACCTCCCACGTGCCGCCCTCCTATTGACGGCGACGTCAGTAAAACGCAGGAGATGTTCAAAGGGCCAGATACGTACCGTGATGGTCTTACATAATGCGGCCTCAATGCCAAATGCAAGGAGTTGACCGGCAAGATGCGATATGGCCCGCATGGGCAAAGGCTTGTACCGAGGGACTTGGCTCGCGTCTTTGTCGTTAGCGACCAACCACTCTTTATACGTCTCGGCTTCTTGGACTTGCAACCCCTCAAGCATCTCCACGCAGAAGTTGTACTGTGGCGCTTCATCAGCAGCAGTCGGGAAGCTGTAATAGCACACGCACCGCTCGCCGGTCCCAGTACACCGCAGTATGAGCTAGCGCTGTCAAACTCGCGTACACAATGCCGGGGCGCATCTCCGCAACGGCCTTGGCCCCAAACCCACGCTTCTCCAGTGCTTTCGGCGCGTATGACTGCAAGAACACATCAGCGTCCTTCACAAGCTCTTCGAGTGTCGCCTTCTCCTCGGGCTTGTTCAGGTCAAGCTGAGTCGTCCGTTTACACCTCGTGGTCTCAACGTCGAACTTAGGAACGGCAGGAAGATGAGGGGCGGAGACGTGCAGAACGTCCGCCCCGTGTGCGGCCAACGTACGCGCGGCCACTGGGCCGGCGATAATGCGGGTGAGGTCGAGGACTCGAATGCCTTCGAGCGCGTACTCGGGCTCCCCAACACCTTCGATAGAGCGACGAGGTGCCTCTCCGATCTTGGTGATGCTGACCGGTGAGATGTTGACGGTACTCCTTCCGTGTGATGTCGCATCGATGGTGTCGAAAGAGTGCAAGTCGGTCGCAACGAGCTCGGCCTTCATGACCTTGTCGATGAACTCCGACGAGTCCTGTTCCGCCATAACGGCAGTGATCGTAGCCTTGTCCGCCTCGCAGCCCAGAATCTTGAGCAAGCCTTCCTTATGACTACGGACTAGATCAATTTGCATGGACGAGCGAGAGTGCGCAACGACGTACTGCGGAAAGTTCATGTTCAATCGCACCATGCCGCCGTCCTTTGTCACATACTGGTCCGTCAACTCGTCGTCCTCAAACATCTCGGGAAGCTGGCCATCGATGGTATAGTAGCGTTCACCGGCTGTCCCCAAAGGGTCAATCACATAAGCTCCTGTACGAGAGAAATGCAGGGAACGCACCGAACTCGATCAGGGCGTGCCGACTGTCCACCCGTACGCTGCCTTCGATGTCCGTCCTCAAAGCGTGGAAGCGTGACGCGGCGAGCGCCGACAGGCCAACCGAAGTCTATAGTGCGGCCATATTAGCGTTGTACACTTGCCGCAAGGATTGCGATCCAGCAAGGGGCATCGGACTTTGAACAGTCGCAAGGAGTAACAACAAATCAGGAACAGCCGGGAGAGGATTATGCGGCGCGGGTCTGGAAGCTCTTCCACTTCCGCGGATTTGCGAACGGATCGCAGCGTTCTCCAGACCCGCGCGGCCTGCTCGATGAGCAGAGAGGAGGCGCAACGGCGATGGTCGTGTGCAGGGAGAGGGAGATCGATTGATGGGATAAGAGCTCACCTGTGCCGCTGTACCAAGTTTGAAACACGAGTCGAGAGAAGGCTCTGGGTTATTGCTGAGGTGCAACCGCTCCGTGTCGTCAGGAGGAAGTCCGTGGTGTACCCAGATGTGCCGCGCAGGCGCATTGATCATGTCGCGCATCATGTTATCGAGCCAAGACATTGTGGGCGAGATATTGCGAGTCTCGACAAAGGTTGGAGAAGGAGGGGGAGAGGAGAACGTGAGCCGTAATGGTATGCAGTGTTATATGGAAATGGAAGACGTCCATGTTCATCGCGGAGTGAGGGGAAGTTGATCTGGGCAAGACAAGGCCCGGTCGCGGAATGGCACCGGGCGTACGGCGGCGGCAGTGGCGGTTGGTGGTGGCGGGATGATGATCGCAATGACAGGATCTGTACGCGTGTGAGACAGGGCAGCTGATTCCGAGGCCGACGTGGACTTTTTGAGTGGCCGAATTTGTGGCAGGTAGGTTCCACGAAGAAGATCAGTGGGTCCCGGTATATTACATTCACCCAGCCTATTGTAGCTGCATTCGCTCGCTCATAAGTAGTACTCTAAGTACTCCATCCAACACATTGAGCATTGGGTTTCATCGGCGCGCAACCCTTCCGTACAGGTGTGCGAGACATGACTGCAGAGTGCCGTATCGCGGTCAACGTGCGTCTCGGTCCCGATTGTGCGGTATCCGCAGCTGAGCCGGCGAGGCACTCCTCCAACGTCGTGTAAAGGCCCGCAATCTCAGGGTGCGGGGGTAACGATGCCTTTGTTGGCAGCGCGAGTTCTTCTCCAAATGCCTGCGCGGGGTCGAGCGTGCCGAGGTTCTTGATCCACAGCATCGTCTCTGCGAGCGAGACATGGACCTCCCAGCTGCCGCCCTCCTGCGTAATCCGGGTAAGCTATGCGCCCATACGAGATTGTCTCGGACATAAGCAGATTGCTGACCGTTATTGTCCTGCATAACGCCGCGGCAATCCCGAATGCGAGGAAATACCCTGCTGCATGGTCGAGCGCCTGCATGGGCAAAGCGCGGTACGGAGGCAGCGCGGCGAGCTCGTCAGCTTCCGCGCCCTGCGCACGCATATACGCTGCGTACGCTCTGGCCTCCGCCACATTGAAGCCCGACATCGTCTGGACCAGCGAGTCGAACTGTGCTCGCGCGTTAAGGTCCGGCCAGGAATATTCCAAAGACGCGCAAGGTACGTACCCCTCTGACCTCGGCCCACGCCGAGTCGGGCGGATATGCGCTAAGGTTGGCACACACTATGCCAGGGCGGAGTGTGGCGGCACGCTCAGACGAGAACCCACGAGATGCGAGGCCACCCGGGCGGTACGACTGGAGGAATACGTCCGATGCGGACAGCAGGTCGCGGAGCTGGTCGCGAGCCTTGGCGTCATTCAGATCGAGTTGTGCAGTCCGCTTTCCACGGGATGTGTCGACATCTAAGTCGGGAAGGTCGGGAAGGTTGGGAGATGTGATCCAAAGCACGTCGGCCCCGTGCGCTAAGTTGATATGAGTAATGGCGCAAATAAGCTATAGACACCAATCATGAACGAACCTGCTAACGTCCTTCCACACACAGGGCCAGCTAGAACGCGGGTCATATCAATCACTCTCATGCCTTGTAGTGCTTGTATGAACTGTTTGTCCCCAGAAACCTCCCGGCGCGGAGCGTCTCCAATCTTCGTGATCCTGACTGGAGATACAGCGGAGAGGTCGCGATCCTTAGGATAGAGGGGGAGCTCATCGAATGAGCGGAGTGCGGTCGCACACATCCCGCGTTCGATAGCCTTGCGCTCAAATTCTAGCGCGGACCATGCCTTGAGAGCCGCCGCGACCGATGCGCGCTGAGCATCGCATCCCAGGATATCGAGGATGCCTCGTTTGTGACTGTGCAACGCCGCTAGTCAATCAGTGGCTGACAGCGCTAGCGAGCCAATAGTGTACTGACTGCGGGAAATTGGTGTGCAGTCTGACGTGGCCGTCTCTCGTCTCGTACACTCCGGCCAAATCATCGAAGAGCTCGTTCGCGGTTGGCTGGCCATCGACCAGATAGTACTTCTCGCTATCTGCCGTCGAAACCTCCAATCAGCAAATCAACGTCAAACAGAAGTAGATATATGGCGCATGGGAACATCAGGGCATTAATATTACGCACTGAACTCGATCGCTGCATGCCGCGCATCGACGCTCACATCCTGGGCATCGATATCGCCGGTTCGGAGTTGGTGGAAGTACGCAGCCGCGAGCGCTGAGAGGCCAATGGAAGTCTATGTGGACGTTGATGTCATGAGCGAGCCTGTTCAATCAATCGCGAATTTCCCGCAGGTAGAGGCACATCTAGCGGGTCATTGCCTCACCTCCGCGGCTGTTCCGAGCTTGAAGTGAGACTTGACGACAGGATCAGGACGGGAAGAAAGGTGCAGATGTTCGATGGTTTGCGCTGGTAACCCGCAAGCCAACCAGAGGCGTCGGGCTGGTGCAAGAACCGACATTGAACGATCAGGCCCGTCTTGAAGCTCGCGCCCTGGCTCGGAGTGGGAGGGTAAGAACAAGCGTGATTGGCATATATATACGCGCGCCAATGACGGTGAGAGGCATGAGATTAACGTTTAACGCTCATCCGGCCAATGGGCTCGTCCTTGGACAGGGTTTCAACCTCAGTAACGCAAGAGTATACGGGTTGTTCGATTGAAACGGGCGACTGCAGGATGTAGGCGTGACGACAAAGTAAGATAAGAAAGACTACGGTCCTGATAATAGTATAGCTGCGCGTAGGTATGCTGTTCGGTATGGACAAATACGGGATGGTGGTCGGCGAATCGAAGTCCCGAGTGCGCGTCACTCGGGCGACCAGGGCTCCGGCCAAGGCGGCCCGATGTTACGTCACTATAAATCGCGCGGACGGGAGAGCGCCTGCGCAGGTTGGCAGCATACCACCACGAAGGCCAATATATACGCGCTGATGGTACATAGGCCATAGCAGTTGCTCTCCTCATACCGTAAATGCCCTCGTCGGCCTTTCTTTGATTCCGCCCGCAGCGCTCTTGCGATCGTACTTCAAGCTTCAAGTTCTTGAGCGACTTCGCGGCACTCGGCAATATTCGTTATGAACGCCTACTTGTCCATATCCCTCCATGCGATACCACACATACCATGCCACTGCACAGCCCTCCGTATCAGGCAGCAAACCGTGTCCTTGTGCCACTTGTGCGCACACGACAAGGGCCTGGTTCGGATGTCGAGGCTGAAGGGGCCAGCACCCTTTGTTTTCTAGTTCATATAAACAGCGATATCTAGTTTGGTGTCTACAACACACTAACAAGTGACTGAATCACTATCTTTGCCTCGTCAGACCATTATGTCCCCCTTCCCGCTTTGGTCTCGCCTACCCGTCGAGCTCGTCCGCGAGATCCTCGCGCTGGCCGCGAGCGACAGTCCACGCGCAGCGGCGCATCTCTGCCTGGTCTCGCGCATAGCCAGACATGCGGTTCTCCCAGTTCTCTACCAGTACGCCTTCTCTTTCTTCTAGTCTACCTCTACACGAGTGCTAACGCGCCTGCATCAGATCCATACACCTATCCCTCCCTCGCCACGTCCACTCACTCACCTCAACGCTCACTACCAACAACCCGCCATCAACCCTCATCCCAATCCCACGCTCACCCATTCGATCACTAGCACTCTCCTTCCCTCCAGACCCTCCCTCTCTCAGATTATCCTTAGCAAGCATCGCCGAAACAGGCGCGTTCGACCGCGTCAAGTACCTCGCGATTCGCGCCGACTTTCTCTCGACGAGGTCGACGTTCTCTTCCGGATGGATCGAACACATGAAGCCAGAAACCGTGATGTTATTTGACGTTAGACCTATGGCGCGCCGTAGCGGTATCACCGTCCAGTGGACATCACCTGTGTTCGAACGCGTGGAGACGTTGTACACTTGCACGATCGACAGCCTTTTCCCTCCCCTTTACGATCTCGCACCGCCTCTGTCCCCCACACCACCGCAGCCCCTCCCGTCCCTCCGTCGCCTGGCGCTGACGGCCCACGCAGACTGGGCCGAAACGCCGGTGATACAGTTTTGCGCGTACGCGGCCTGTGTGCTCTATGTGTACCCGTACCTCGAGGTATTGTGCGTGCGTGTCGTTGTCCCAGAACACGTGAGCGATGCTGCGGAGAAGGCGATGAGGGAGATGTGGGAGGAATGTATTGGGGAGCTTTGCGACGATGGATGCGTGGAGATTGCGTGGCGCGCGCGGGGCGCGTGCGATGAATGGACCTCCGTGATCACAGCCAGTGCTGAGGATGCGTGGCCTGCACCTCCCCCTGCACTCGGCGCTTTACGTCCACAGAGATCTAGGTCAGAATCAGAATGGTACCTTGATCTTTCCCCGCCTCTCATGCCACACGCGCATCCACGCGCACACGCGCCCAGAAACGATGTAGCGCGGCCTCGGTCATCACCCCTTTCTCATGCTGTATATCTCTCTGACGAGGAGGTCGGGGAATACGACCCAGATTACGGCGTACTTTGGGACTCGGACTCGGATTATGACGACGATGAGGAAGGGTCCGGTTCTCAGGGCTCCGAGGAAAGTCTGTCGCTCGAGGCGACGCTGGGTTTGGAGGATACGGTTTTATGATACAGCGAGCACCTTCTTCGCCTTGATAGCACCCACTGCATCCATTCTTTGAAGTCCCACAACATAGCTCTTGTAGTAATTGTAGACTAGTCGGACTATCTTTTGGGACGTTGCTTGTTACACACCAATCATACGTTTCATTATGATCACCCGTCGGACTCGCAAGGAGCGTGCATATCGCGCGTGCGAGCTGTCCAGCGCGCACCCCATTGGCAAAGCCACCTGACTGTGCTTGGTCGAGCGCCGTTGGCACTGACGCGTTACTCGCGCGGATGGGCAGCGGCCAGCTGGCAGCCGTGAAGACGCGTCATCACACGTGATCGCGTTTTGAAGCGTTACCCGATTTTCCCCGGAGGACTCCCAGCAAGTGTGCTGCCCGCCGGACTCCTGACAACGCATGCACTCCACGAAGTCTCGCCACCTAGGCCTAAGTGTGTCGCAAGTCATGAGCACCGCAGTACCAAATGAATAGAGATATTATAATGAATTTTATTGCAAAGCCGCATCTACAACAGCAGGCGCCAAAGAGGATGGAGGGGTGGAATAGCTTAGTACGTGAGCGAGGACATGTCGGCGCGGATGCGGTTGTAGTCGAGGAGGCCCTCGATCCTGCCGAGTGCGGCGATGGCAATCTGCAAGCACCAATCAGTAATGAATGGTGTGAGAGTAAAGAGATAGTGTACGCACGTCCTTGTCCCAGATGTACTTGCGCGCAACAGCCTTGATCTGCTCCGGGCTGACGGCGTCGATAGCGCCCTCAATCTGCGCCGGCGTCAAGCGCACACCACTCGTAACAAGCTGCCTCCCAATATCCTCCGCAATCGCCGTCGTGCCGTCCAATCCCAGTAGCAAGCTCGCCTTGAGCTGGCTCTTCGCGCGCTCGACCTCGACAGACGTCGGGTTAATCGCCAAGCGCGTCCACTCCTTGAGCGTGAAATGCGCGACGTCGTCCATGTTGGCCGTGTTCTCGGTCACGAGGTATATGCCCCACAGCCCCGTGTCGGAGTAGGACGTGCTGAAGCTCATAAAGCTGTTCGCGAGGTTGTTCTGGTACATGATATCGCTGAGCTTGCTCCCGAGCGTCGCGGCGCTGCCGAGCGCGCGGTCCCAGTTGCCGATGATGCTCTGCATCACGAGCATGGGGTAGTAGTCCGGGCTGCTCCAGCCCACGCCCTCGACGGCGATGGCGAGGTGCGCCGTGGGGAGCGAGTCGTCGCGGATGCGGACCTCGGAGCCGACGAACTTGGGCTTGGCGTGCGATTGGCGGCCGAGCGGGAGCGGCGCGGACGAGGTGGGGAGCGTGGAGAAGGACTTTTCTGCGGCCTTGACGAGCTCGGAGTGGTCGACGCCGCCGGCGCCGACGAGCACCATGCGGTCGGCCTTGTAGTTCGTCTGGATGTACGACGCGAGGTCGTCGCGCGTGATGGACCGGATGTTCTTCTCGGGACCGAGGATGGTGCGCCCGAGCGGTTGGCCTGGAGGGCGCAATGTCAGTGCCACGTCCGGTGTTTGCCGGGGAAGGAGCGAACGTACCCTGGAAAGCGACGGCGTGCAAGTGGTCAAACACGACCTCCTCATGCTGCTTCTCGACCTCCTGCTGCTCGCGCAAAATAACATCGCGCTCGCGCTCGACAGCGCCGGCCTCCAGCTTCGAATTCTGGAGAATGTCGGAGATAATGTCGACGGCCTGGGGCACGTCCTTGCGGAAGCTCTTGGCGTAGTACACGGTCTGCTCGCGCGAGGTGTACGCGTTGAGGTGCGCGCCGAGGTTCTCGACCTCGAGCTCGAGCGAGTGCTGCGTGCGCCTGCCCGTGCCCTTGAACGCCATGTGCTCCAGGAAGTGCGCCGTGCCGTTGTTCTGCGCCGTCTCCGCGCGCGAGCCGGCGTCGATCCACACGCCCACCGTCGCCGTCTGCGCGTGCGCGTGCGACTCGGTCGCCACCGTCAGGCCGTTCGAGAGCGTCGTCACCTGCGTCAGAGGCGAGGACGGGACCGCCGTCGCCAGTGTCCGGAGCGCCTGCACAGCTGTCAGTTCATTTCTCATAGAAATACATATATTCAAGAGACATACCGGGCGGCGGACGGATGACCGCAATGTGCGGCCGAGCGATGCGGAGAGGGCTCGCGAGACCATTAGGAAAGGGTATGGAGGTTAGTTCAGAGGAGCCGAAAGCGCAAGCACATAACTTGGCTCGGGCGAAGCCGCGAGCGCGCCACGTGGGAGGGCCCGTCACCAATCAGGCCGCCCCGTTTATTCCTCGACTTGCTCTCGACGCTCATCAGGATCTGCGGCGTCTCAGCTTGAGGCCTTTTCAATATAATAGTCCCTGCTCAAGACTATCATGTCTCGAACCCTGGGACCCGGCGCCTTGACGGGAGGAGAGCCGATATGTGCTTTCCACACCAGGCGTACTCAAAGCTTCGCCGGCGCCACAGCTGACCCGCGTCGGGCTGCCGCCGGCTGAGATTATACTTCTCCCCACGGCAGCCCTGCGTACCAACATCTCTCTATACCCATGTGTACAACTAGACTCACGCAACCTCGTCCTCATGGTCGAGATGTGTCAGCTTACTCTCACCACGAATACGTGCAAAAACCAGAGGATAAGCTCTGCTTTCCTGCTCTGACTACGAGCAGTGGTCGCCGTTCAGTTCTTGAGCTCTGCCCTCATGTCTTCTATTGATCCCGCACGTCGCCTGTGGACGACCTTCGGTCTTCCTGAACAAGCACTCGATCATCTACATCTCTCATCTAATCCTGACCCAGCCGTCGACTCGCACTTCAAGCTTGGCACAGCTGCCCAGGTAAAACGCAATTACTATCCAAATGCCGGATTCAACGCTCATGAGATCTACAGACCGCAATAGGCCTCTCAGCCCTCGCCGTAGCCCACTTCCACGAGCTCCGCACAGGCGAACCGCAAGATGT